GAACGCGGGTTCTGATGAGAACAGTGTAAGCGTTCAAGCAACCCACTTCTGAAGATGCAAGCCACTCGTGCTTGCGAAACGTCAGGAAGAAATTCGACCGAACGGCGGCCTAAAAACCCATTAGTTCTTAGTTTGGTGAAAGTGTAGTTATAATTTAGCCGCCAGTGGGCGTTTGGACATTTGAGCTCCAAAAGCAATCTGAATAAGCTGATTTTCCCATTTTCGTAGAAAGAAGGGACATTGCAAACAACTTACTATCGCTCAAATGATCCTCCTCCTGTTCAAGATGGGTGGGATCTGGGGCGAACACACGAGTCGGACGGTTCAGGTGATGTCGCGGCCTGGGAATTTCCCTCATTTGAACGTTGATATCCAACTGCATTCGAACGTCCAGCACCATGAAGCCGACGGTAATCAGGAGGGGCAGCCGATAGCGGCAGTCCCAAGCCAGTTTCAGCAGGAAGAGCAACGGGCTAACGTGGCTCATTCTGCAATGAAACGCTCTGGACTCAGGGAATACGATTGGGCAGACAAACTATTTTCTTCTCAGAATAACTATATATTAGACCAATTTCCATTTAAGACATACATGTAGTGGTGAATAACGAGGCTTTGAACAACTACGTGCGCATAGGGTTGCAAGTACGGCGATAATCGCGGAAGTTACGCGACAGTGTTTGCCAAGTTCCAGGCAAGAAATCCTAGGTTCTATCATAAAAATCAATGGTTGTTCCATTTTGATAAGAGCCGCTGACCAAGATATTCAAAAGCTTCTCCACAGTTTGAGTGGGGGTGAGGACGCTGGTGTTCCTGACCTCAGTGAAAGACTTGCTCAGATCAGCGCACTCATCATTTTCGCAGATTGAGTTGAACATATCTGTTAGAACAGGACCTGGAGAGTAATTCAACACATTCAAACGGGAATTTTCCACTGCCACCGTTTTGAAGAACATTTCCTTAGCGGCTTTCCCAGCGGCGTACATACTCAGATTGATGATTGGTTTGCGTGCGACTAGCGACGTTATATTGACTATATACAGATGCCGGATGATATCCTGGAGTTTCAGTACAAAAGCACTGTTCAGCAGAATAGCAGAGTGCAAGTTCACATCGAAATGTTTTCTCCAGTCCTCCACATCGATCAGACGAGCGGTTTCTTTTATAGTCCCCAATTGGCCCGCGTTGTGGAAAAAGCATGTTGCTTCCACGTCCGATACATTAGCATTCTTTATGACATCATCCAAGAGATCATTGCATTTCTGCATATCGAGAGTGGCGAGGTCCGTCCTATAGGTGAGAACTGTTATTGTAGTAGGTTTAATTTTGGCAATTTTTGCCTTGGTTTCGTTCAGGCCCTCCTGGCTGCGGGCAATCAGAACAAAGATAGATTCCGGGTTTATTCGCCTGGCTAGCTCGATGGCAATCGTTTGTCCAATGCCCTTAGACGCTCCAGTGATAAATATTAGGGATTTTTTGGTCAAATCCATTCGTTCCACTGGGACGTCCTCCATATTCTTAGGTAGGATGTGCTGTGAAGAAAAGGGGCTTTATCTTCAGGTACCACGTAACTACTTAAAAATTAGAGCAGTCCCATCCGATAAGGATGTTACTAACATTCTCGAGCAACAATGGCAAGTGCTTTTGTCTGATAACTAACCTTTGATTCGTACTTGGATAGTAATCCACAAATAGTAGTTTGTCGACTTCTAAAGTTTCCTAATGCCCAATAACAAATAACAAGCTCTTGACCCAATGGTTAATGAATGGACAGTGAGAATCGTACACCGAGGAAAACACGAGCAAATCTAGGCGGTCCTCAGAGGAATAATAAGGTCGCGTCGATCAATATCACGAACATTCTCCAGGGGAAGGATATTGAAGGATGTCTTTTATGCAGCATTGTTGAAATCAGGCATTTTTTTGTAAAACTAGCCGATTTCGGTTGTAGATATCTTTGTAATTGATTCATCGATCACGTTTGTGTTGCCGAGAAAAAATCATAAAACCGACCACCGGTGGTATCCTTCAGCAATTTTCTTTTTGTTACAACGTTTACTTAGAGTTATTGCAATTGTGTGAGAACCAACTGCGCTAATTCTCTTATTGATWTACTCTTCTAATRATGGCCTGCAAAAGCGAMGAAAAGCACCCATTTCCTTTACATGCTCAGCCCTTCCAGTGTACATGAGAATAACAATTGCACTCACCTGTGGATTCTTCTAGCAAAAGTTGRTCGTACTTAATGAATTCGACCACTTCACCTTGATTCAGTGCYTGTCTCTGTGGTACAATGGTGCGCAGCAATAATGAATCCGATATCGGGTTTTCGAAAGAAATCTGAACCAGATCGGGTACCGTTTCTTCACAAAGSAGCTGTCGCATATAAGCTTCTTTTGTGGCTGTTAACTGTCGAAGCACGTTGGGATCGGACTTGATTTTCTTCAATTTCGATTCTAAAAACAAGCAGGTCGTCAGTTCAAAATAAGCATTTTTGCCGGTTTCAGTAATCGACATGGGGTCTTTGATTCTTATGGGTGGTTTGGGAAAACTAATCCTTTCTGGGTCTCATAGGTGATTTGGTATATGAACTTCATTAACTTAATTAGAAACATATGGAGGGGTCAAGGGCTTGAGTGTAAACATGGTGCTAATCCAGGCCATGTTGAGGTATGTATAGGCCTGCTGCCGTATGTAGCGAATAAGAAGCACTGGGGTTTAAGAATGTAGAATAGCACAAAAACAAGCGGTATGTTGAAAATATTGACCCAGAAAGAGGAAAAAAATGGGTTGACGGGTGGGTTATTTGTTACCTAAAAAGGTACATCTTGTACTTGCCTAAAGTAGCCAGATACTTTTCATGGTCTGGTAGCTTGCCAGCACTTTTTGGGGTGAAATTATCTTCGAATTTTGTTGTAAAATTATCTTCAGAAAGGTGTACCTTTGAATGACAACTTGTCCATGGGTCCATGTCAAAAACTGATCAAAACAAACTGGAACTAACCCAGCAACACAACAAAATCACAATACAAATCCTGAGAAATTATATGTGTCTCACTTCGTCTCGTTACTACCAAGCAAGGCGAGAGCAGGAAAGAATGAAGCGAGTGTAAACGCACAGAACATCTCCTCCTCCTCCCATCGGATGATCTGTCATCTAAGCGTCAGTTCCAGCTGATAATTGTTGATAGCTTAAGTCATGCCTTTAATGTTGATAAAACTTCAAATACAGTAAGGATATCTTTACAGGAAAACCCTTCAAAAGGAGTCAATGGCGTTTTTGGAGGTAAGTTTGTTTGCAGTAAACTAGTTTACTCTCAAATTCAAATTATTACCAAATTTGCTCCCAGTAGACCATAGCAACTGTATAGTACAAAGTGTAAAACATTGACAAACTTTTGTTTTAATTACCCAATGTTACCGTTCCAGTGGCGCAAGTTCCAGTTTTTCGACTTGAAGCCCAACTTGGAAGGTAGCCGACAACTAACCGAACTCTCCAAGGTATACCGTGTACCACTATAAACATTTTGCACTAATTACAGCCTTTTAAAGGAATGCAAAATAACATGCACATCAGCTGGGAACAACCACTTGGTGTTCGGCGACTCTTTGGGTCAAATTCACCTTGTATCCAGATCCTGGCATATCACCACCTTTCGTAGCTATGAAATATCGGTAGATTTATCGTTTCAGCTCCGGAATTCGCCCCTGCTGCTAACTATAGGGGTGAGTGCGCCACTAAATATTACTGCTTTCTTGTCCTGATTATGCCAAGCAAGTGCTAATCGGATTCCCTCTAATATTCCAGCACGATGAACCGGGCATAAATCCCTTAATCAAAGTATGGGATACTAGCAAGTTCGATAAGAATGGTGTGCCATTTTGTACAAGGGTAACGAGGGCCACAGCTGGGACTTATGCGGTTCAAGTGAGCACATTTACTGTGCATGACAACCTTCAGCTTATGGCTATTGGATTTGTGGACGGGTCTTTGCTGCTGTACAGGTCTGAAGTACATTAATATACGTTTTCAATAGCAACTGAAACCTGTTTTATGACACAAAAGGGGCGATGTGGCAAGAGACAGGAGTTCAAAGAAGCGACTTTTTAAGGATTTCAACAGCGAAATTACAGGTCTGGCCTTTAAAACATCGGCCAATCAAACCTATCTGTTCGTATGCACTTACCAGGCAGTAGTTGTTTATAATATTTCACACAAGGATAGAGAACAAAAGGTAGCAACAATGTTCTGAACACGTCATATTTTCAGGCAAATGTTTCAGTACCCATTAGACCAAATTGGATGCGTTAAACATTGCAGTGGATTAGCCGAATCAACGCAGGAGAGATTTTTCATGATAGCGCGAGCCAATGTGAGCATGAGCATGTTTCCACGTTTCCTCTAGTTTAAACCACATTCATTCATAGGCAATCTATTGTTATACACCGGATGGTCGAGGTCCCTGCTATGCCGTGGATGGCGAGAAAACCATGCTGGAATGGTTTAGGAGCTACCTGATTATAATATCAAAGAGCAATCGACCTGCCGCAATAGGCGCATCAGCCGAACAGGACAATTCCAAACAGGAAGATTTGTTAACTGTCTTGGATATCTTCAATCAGTTCATTGTCTATCAGTGCGTCATGCCCAACATCAGGTAGTTTTTACTCCTGTTAGTTGTGATAGATGTTAACGCATGTAATTACTTTGTAGGGCTGTTCTGTATGAATGGGGCTCTATTTTCATCTTGTGTCAAGACCACAAAATCTACCACTTGGATGAGAAGGACCTACAGTCCAAACTGTCGCTCCTTTTCAAGAAAAACCTGTATGATGTTGCAATTAGTATTGCGAAAAGCCAGCAGTATCACTTGGATGGGCTGGTCGATATTTTTAAACAGTATGGGGACCATTTGTGCGATAAGGGAGACTATGCGGGGGCCATAGACCAGTATACGAAAACAATAGGAAAATTGGAACCCAGCTATGTGATCAGGAAGTTTGTGGATTCACAACATTTGGAAAAATTGATTATGTATTTGCAGGTGAGGAGAAAAATATCAATTTTTCCCTTGATGTTCATTCTATAAAAAAACGTCTATTTCTATTGTAGGCTTTGCACAAACAGGGGCAAGCCACCGAAGACCATACAACTTTATTGCTCAATTGTTACACCAAACTGAACAATGCAGTGGGACAAACGGATAGTTTGAAAGAGTTTATTCACTCAAAGGAGGGCGATTTAAACTACGACGTGGACGTGGCTATTAAAGTTTGTAGGTAAATTATATAGGGCGATTACAGCGTGTTTAGTAAAAAAGCATTAATGTATAATAAATTTCGCCGCTATTCGTATCTTCGGAAAATTTCCAAACAGTGACTAAATATGTGATTTTCTTAGACAAGGAAGTCCAGCCGACGCTTTGATGTTAGCAAAAAAACACGAAAAACACGAGTGGTACATAAAAATTCAAATTGAAGACCATCAGAAGTACCGCGAAGTGTTGGACTACATCGGCAATTTGAACTTCGAAGAAGCCAGCCACTATACGAAAAAATACGGTCAAATTCTAGTGGAACATCTACCCTATGAGAGTACGCAGTTTCTGAAACGCTTATGCACCAATTACAAGCCGGAAAATAGTCCGATCGTTTCCGAAAATATGATGTCTGGTAGCTAAGTTGAGTAACTTATTTCAAACTTTATAAAACCCATTTCTTGGCAGGAAACTACGACGTTGTTCTCAAATCGGACCCAGAGGATTTCATTCATCTCTTCCTTAACAACTCCGAACGACTTGTGGAGTTTTTAGAGCACTTGATAACTGAAAACTGCATTTTGAGTCCTTCAGTTTACAGCACTTTGCTGGAACACTATTTGCATGTCTGGTCAAACACAGATGGTAAGTCCTCTGATACGTGCGCCTATTTCCTATTCGGATCATTAGGTTCATGGTTTAATTTAAAATTCGTATCGCAGGTGTGAGTGACAAACACAAGCTGTCCCGAAAAATCCTAGACTTGTTGCAAAACCCGGAGTTAAAACTGGACAAATCCCATGCCCTAGTCGTATGTAATATGCATTCGTTTAGTGAAGGGATTTTGTATATTTACGAGGAGCAAAAATTGTATCGGCAGATTCTGAGGTAGATCCACTTGGATATTGTTGATTTAGTGCTTTGAGAATCGGTTTTTTGCAGATATCACATTTCCAGAAACGACCCAAGCTCGGTGCTGGCATGCTGTGCGCGATTTGGCCATCAGGAACCCACCCTTTGGGTGCAAGCGCTATGGTCTTGTGTTAGGGACAGTAAACAGCCATCCATTGATCTCCTGAATGAAGTAATGCCCGCAATATATTATCGAAAACGTCGCTGATTAGTATGTGAATCACCATTTCAGGTCTTGACTGTGATCGCTAAAGAAAAACTGTTTTCTCCTCAACTGGTTATCGACGCTGTCGGTACAGGAAACGCGGAGATCACGTTAGGTCACATCAGGTCGTACATAATGAAAGAGTTGAAGCAAGAGATACAAAAAACTGAAGAAATGGCCAATTTGACCAGGAATTATCGAAAAGACTCTGAGAAACTGAAGAAGCATTTGGAGGAGCTCAAGGTTGGAGTGACTTCAATTCAAGGTATGATCTATTTGCAATCTAACCGACACAGAGAACTTTCAAAGTATGAACGTTTTTCATTAACAGGAGCAAGATGTGCAGCCTGCCACCATCCTCTGGAGCTCCCCACGATTCACTTTTTATGTAATCATAGCTTCCACCAGCACTGTTTCCAGAGCTTTTCAGACGATGAATCCGAGTGCCCGACGTGCCAACCAGAAAACAAAAACTTACTAGACCTTCTTAAAGCCAGAGATCATAACAAAGACATGCACGAAACGTTCCATTACCAGCTCGATAAGGCCCATGATGGATTTTCGATAGCGGCAGAATATTTTGGCCGAGGAGTGTTTACTAATTGCAATCGTTTAAGGTTGGTGCGAATGTAAAAATGCATATACTGCGGGCGATACATAAAATCCTTCACATGTTGCAGCGCTGAAATGATGGGTAAAAGTCTTTCGTTTGCCAAAAAAGCCGATACAAAACCGAATTCGAACTATGGCTATGTTGCTGAGGCACGGAAGCAGTCGGGGAGCGTTCGGAGCAAAACGCGTTATGATTCTACCTCGGATGCTAAAACGAAAGCGCAAAACAGGTACTAAACGTTCACACTATGAATACGGAGGATTCTGTATTGTACTGATTTAACAAATCGCAGATATAGTTCTTCGGTAACATCAACATCGTCGACACGTTCTGCCCCCGGGCTGGAGCAAACAGCTTATTCGTATAAAAGCACAGAGCCAGACCTCAAATCCAGAGTGTCTATGAACCCTTTTGAAGAGCCGAGCGATTACGATGAAAGCATGAACCCATTTTGCCAGGAATCAGACGAGCTCTTGGACAAAACCAACCCGTTTTCTGAGGATTACAATTGCGACAAGAATCTCAACCCTTTCAATTGAAGGTAGGTAAGGCGTTGAAAAGTGTAAATATGCGGGTTTACGCCGAGACCCATTTAAAATGTTTACTCCAGTTTTGTTAATCTTGTCTGGCTATCACATTGTATTTTTCCTGGATTTAGTCAGCTTGCAGATATGAGATATGAAGGCAGGTAAAAAAATAATTATACGTTTCAAATTTTCCATCGTTTACAAACAACTACAACCGATAGTTCTACTAGAGTTGCATTTTCCTCTATGTTCTTTAAATCGAGTGAGCCCTACAAGCATCCTGGAAAAGGATCGTTTCGGTTTTTCCTTAACACAAAGTTAATTTTCCTATTCATGTCTTCATTGTAAATGGCTTTGCACCTTTCAAAGTTTATCCTTCGTCTGAACTGGAAAAGAAATGTTCACTTTAGGCTGGGAAAAGGGTGATAGTGTGCGTGAAAACTTGTATGGAATTATTAATATAGATTATATAAGCAAACAGATAATGAAGTTGTCGCAAAACAGGCTTATAACGTGTGACACTGTGGAACACTTGAAGCTGCATGTAATTGCAATGCAAAATGACTTTGAATGTTAACTTATCTTAATAAATACAATTAGATAGATCTGGTGGATGATTGAGATTGGTCTCCGCAGATCTACCTCTTTCTATCCCTACCTCAAAAGGCCTCTCAAAGTATCTAGTCCGCCTGTATTGGTCAAGTATGTCCTCTTTCCCTAAGATCCTGTTTAGCACTCGGCAGGCAGCTTCAACATCGTTGTTTTGTACAAAGACTGTGCGAGCGATAAAACTGGCGTGTCGCATTATTACTACCCTTAAAATATGCGAATTTCGCAGAAAGTCTAATTTATCGAAAGTGAGGTTTAGTTTTGTGTCAACTTTAATTTCACAACTAGCGCATATAAGCCAACCTGACTCGTTGTTGCAAGTGAGTTTGAGGTTACGTTAAGCAAAGGAAACATCTAAAATTTTTTCAACATTAAATGGGCGGATTTATAGAAGATTAATTTATTGTTTTTGCCAAACGATTCGTGATTTGTGGATTTTCAGGGGCTAGGAGCAGTCCGACTAATTTATTTTTTTATTGTTTATTGCATTATTAGAAGATAGCACGTTAAAATGTTGGGTATGATCCTGGCCAAACCATTTAGCTCATATTTATTCAATCATACGAATGTTTATGTAGAAACAGTGAATATAATATAATAACTCTTATAGTTACCCGTTTTGGTATAGAAGTTTGTTTTGATTAGCAAAACCGCAAACTTAATTGCGCATGTCATTTAAACAACGAGTCAGGTTGGCTTATATGCGCTAGTTAATTTCACAGTTTATGTGCCCCCGTACGATCCCAATTTGGCAACGGTGAACGGTAGGCCTTCGCATTCGCTCAAAAAAATGTAAAATATTCCAGCACTCAAGCCGAGGTCTTCGACTGAAATCTAAGTGAATTTTTTGATAAGTTAACCACGACAGCTTTGGCTTACACCTGAATGTCACTCCTATTTGCTTCCATTGTCATCCAGTATGAAAAAAAAAATGTTTATTAAAATATGTCGGGTTTGTCGCACCGTAGTAAAATCGCGTAGTGTCCAGTATTAAGTGTTTGTCGAATTATTTAATGTTTCACTAATAATTGTAATTGCTTGATGAATGTGTTCAAAGTACAATGGGAAACGTAAGTAAAATTTATATATTTCTTACTTAGAATCAGCTTAGGGTTGTTCCAGGCGGGCGAATATGTTCCTCCCATAGGCGGCTATAGATGGGCTGATAATTTTGATAAATTGCTGTGTTCAAATTGCGAGAAGTATTTGTCGGTAGGACCGATTCTAACTAGTACTGATGGCCAGGTTAACATATGTGGCAGATGTGACGAGGGGGCCTTTCAAAGCCATGGTGAATTCTACCGGAACGTCCTTTACGAATCGATAGCCAAGTTTTTATTATTCCCGAGCAATTCGGGATGCATTTGCAAGACGCTTTGGAATTCGGTAACGATCCATGATCAGGATTGCCCTGAAAAAAGGATCGACTGTTTTGATCCAGATTGTCCGGCATTCGTCCGATGCGAAGAAGTGATTGCACATTTCCAGCATGTGCACCGCATCTACAAGGGCTACTCTTTCGACTTCTATTTGGGTGTTTTAAGCTCGGGTGTCCGGCTAATTGAAATCGACACGTACATATTTGTGTTCTCCTACGTTGTGCGTTTTAGTACGCTCTGGTTCAATATGTTCAACGTGAACTACGTGAACAAACAAACGCTTCACTTCAGATTGAAGACGTTGGATTCCCCAATGCGCCCTGATCTAGTCAATAATCGATACCGCATAAGGCTTTGGAATCAATTTCTCAATATGCTGTATACCGACGAAATGTACCATCTGAGTATTCCACTCACCTCGGCGTCTAGACCGCCCGACAGCTTTTATGTAGTTGAACTGATTATAGAAAACATCGGGATTGAAGATGCGGCTGTATGCCTCGAATGCGACCGAATGATGGTCGAAGAAAACTGCTGCATGTGCCACCGAGGGCACACATACTGTTTGGATTGCTATCAAGAAGCTGAGTTTTGTCCAGACTGCACCAATCTGAAGATGAAAAGCCTACGTAGCAACTGGATACTGGACGTTGAAGATGACGATGCAGCCTGGGATTATTAATCGGGAACTTTGCTAGAAGACAGCCTTTTAGGGTGCTTGTTTTATCCAAGTGATTTTTTAAACGTTTGTATTATTTTTATTGAACATTTTAAAATCGGTGAGCCTCAGCATTGTCAAATGCCTTAGAAATAACACTACCAATGGTCAATAGTGCAGCATTATTTTTAGCGTCAACAACGTCTTTTTTTTACAAATATGTGCTCGAGGAATTCTGCCAGTCTATGCCATTAAAGGAGCTTTAGTTTACGTTGTTGTGGCCGATGGCGAACTGTGAACCAAACAGTGCTTTGAACTGCTCGGAAGCCTTGTCCATGTTCCAGGTAAGCGCAAGTTTTCTCAATTATACCAATCAACAGTTGCAGAATTCTCATAAATTATCGATCCCTGGATTGATCGATCAATAACGCTCAAAATTCAACTTTATTTGCTGAGAGCAATTTTGGGGCGTTTGAATAATACCACCTAGATATAAGGCCTCAGTGAAAAAACCTCTAAGACTCATGACGTCAGACCATGTAGTCATGGATTTCTCCCGTAAGGAATGCATTGAGCTGTAGACAGGGGCGGATCCAGCTTCAAATTCAGGGGGGGGGGGTTATGTAGAAAAAATACAGTCTTCTGTTGTCTATGAATTTAGAAAAATTATCGTCGTTTTGTGCAAGAACGCTCGTTTTAACATCATTCCAAAGAGGCCTTTTTAGAAAGTGAACCATCGATAAGGGAATCTCGCAGTTTTCTCAAAAAATGCTTGAATTCAAGAAGTTTTAGATTTGTGTGTTTTTTTTTTAGTTGAAAAATCCACTTGAACATGACGCTGCTTTTTTCGAAGTTTTTCAAGAACCATTCGAGCCACAGAATTCGTTTTTACATCGTTGGATAGAGAATTGAAAAGTCGATTCAGTCGTAACAACGTGAGTGAGGAAATTCG